GAAGGGACAGGTGCTGAGAGCGGAGGAGGAGGAGGGGAGGCAGGAGCGGAGCGGCGAGGCCGGGGGCTGCAGGGGGCCGGGCTGCGTGCGGTCCTGCTGGAGCCGGGGAGCGGTGCTCCTGTCCCAGGGTCCTTTCCAGCGCCGCCGCCTCCCGATATCTTGTTTGCTCATCTCTTGTCATAAATGGGAGGAGATATTTGTGAAACATTGTGAGAATTCTCCACTGAGCACTGAGCAAACAGTCTGGGTCCTGTGTAATGGTCCTTGTAAGTGGGACTCAGCAGGTCGTTGAACAGATGTTTTCTGAGCACCTCTCGTGCGCGCCGGGCCGTGTGCTCGGTGCACGGTTCAGAAGAGTTCGGTCTCTGCCCTCGACGGGGGGAGCAATCACGGCCAGCGCATCCAGCGCGGAGGTGGCAGACTGCGGGCCCATCTGGGGCTTATCTCTGCAAGCTGTGCCCAGGTCTGAAAATCGGGGAGGAGCAGGCTGTTGAGAGCCGGGGCGTGCTCTCGGAGATGGTTGCCCACGTTGCTCAGGTCCCACTCGTGCTAATGGTTTTTCCGCCCCGACTTGGGTCTCAGGCTGTCGTTTATGTTCTTATATCTGATGTTCCTTTCCTGATAACTATGTGGAAAGACACAAGCATGAATTTTTTTCCCCCCCGCCCTATCTTCCTCCTTCCCTGACTGGCTGTGCACTTTTATGGCAGACCAAAAATAAATAAATACCAGTTCTGTGACCAGCCTCCCTGGCACCTCTTGGTACAGGAAATTTCCTGACCTCTGTCTTCAGGATGTAGATAATTTCTACGAAAGTGACGCAGATGTTGTTCTGGGGACAAGGGGCTGGGGGCAGCAGCTGTCTAGACATGAGTGATTCGGGGGTGACCAGGCAGGTTCTCTGGTTCCTTTTGGCTGCTTGCTTTAGCTACACTCCGGCTGTGGGTGAGTGGAACTTCCCAGGAATTGAGTGCTGCCCCTGCTGGGCCTGTAAAACTTGGATTTTTTTTTTTTTTTACAAAGATAAATATGGGCTGCTGCTTACTAGGCTTTTTTTTTTTTTTTTTTTTTTTTGGATAAATTACCTGTTACTCTTCGTTGCAGAGATTAAATGGCCAAGACAGACAAGTGGAATTAGGCCTTGGCGTGGAGACTTTATTTTCTTCATTTAGGATGAGGCGGCTAATGAAACTGTGATGGTTGCTTGTGTCTTCGCAGGTGAATGTTATTGCTCTGTTCTCTGTTAAACTTTCTTGGATCTTTGAGGTTTGGAAAGAGTTTTAGTTATATGCGCACAAGACTTGTAAAAAGACTTTATTATATTAATAAAGTATATAATACATGATCTCTTTCTAAAGAGTAATTGTGGTGGTTTATAATTAAAGGTCTTGCAACGAGGCTGTTAAAAAGAAATAGAAAACCAAAGCCATGGAAAAGACTAGATAGAAAATACTGTTGAAAAGTAGGGGTATTTATTCTTTGAGATTGGAGCTGAATTTGATCTTGAGGTTTCTGGTATCCCATGTAAAAAGGCCAATGTAAAGACTGAGTCACATACACTTTGTTATTTGATAGAAGTACAATAAATACACACACACACACATATATATATATATTAAAGTTTAAGCATTAAAAAATTAATGCATACTCACTGTGGAAAATTTTAAGACTCAGAGAAGTTAAAAAAAAA